CTTAAGGAAACCAAACCGGTCCCGTATTAAGAGTGAAAAATGGCGGGCTGTGTATTTTTGTTTACGTTTCACAATTTAATTTATTGTTATTTGTTTCACTTGGCTGCTGCACTGAGGCACAGATAAAACTAAACTGGGCCAATCTAATTCAACACTTTAACGCTTCCTAAAACTGACCTCAAGATAAGACCAGAACAAATTAGGAAAGAGATAAGAGAAAAGACACTGGAGGAGGCAGAGCTGGGGCCACAAAAAGAAACACAAACAATCTGAATACACAAACATCTCATAAGTCAACAAACGGCCACAGAACTGGACAAAAATAAGCATCTACAATTGTCGGAGTAACTTAATCCACAATATTAATCTTGTTTTCAGTCATTTTGATCAACTGATTATTGTAGTTTAAAGGTGTAACTTTTCTGGAGAGCATCCGCAAACTGTTTGTCTCCATGAAGATGTTGATGCATTTGGTATAAATTGTCCAGAGTATGGGATTAATCTAATTTGTTTGACATTTATTCAGCTACACGTGTTCTAAAAATCTTTAAAAACATGAATTCTTACAAAAAGTGGGGTCGCCTCTCCACAAATCTGACTTGTAATTTGGCTTGCAAGTCTCTTCATTCATTCATTAATTTGGAAATTTATGGTCATACTGTGGAACATTCTAGGCAGAAGGCTCATCTCCATGGAGACAAGCAAATGACGGAAACAAGTTACACGTTGTCTTTAAAATAAATGGAAAAAAAAAAAAAAAAAAAACTAAAATAAAAAAAATACTCACTAGCAGATAAAAAAAGTGTACTTATTTTAATTTAAAAGGTGCACTGTGTATCTTTTCTGGTGGAGTTTCCATCGCCTTCTTGTCTCCATGGAGATTTGAGTTCTTTGCCTGGAATGTCCCACAGCATAGACATAAACCTAACTTCTCCACGGAGACAATTAGGTGACACCACCAGCCCAAGTTACAGGTCAGATCTGTGGAGAGCCTCACAGTAAGAATTAATGTATTTCAAGGTATTTTTAACACACATTTTGAGTGTGAGCAGGGTGCCTCTCCACAGATCTGACCAGTAACAGTAGCCTGGTTTGTTTTTCATGATGATAGAAAAGTTTAATGTCATACTGTGAAACAAAATATTCCAGGCAAAGCAATAACATTTTCGTGGAGATCTTGTTTTGGTAACTTTGACTCCCTTATACAGCGTCTCTCTTGGGGTTTTACAAGAACACGTCGGCCCAGGCTGACCTTATTTGGAAAAATAATAATAATAATTTTTTTTTTGAAGTAAATATGCCACTTGTTGCCTCTATTTAATCAAACAGAGTGATGAAAGAATGAAGATGCATTGCGCAACTTCTCTGGTGGAGGATCCGTCACCTGCTTGTTTCCATGGAGATGTTATTGCTTTGCCTGAAATGTTCCATGGTATAACATTAAACACATCTATTTATCATGTATTCATTATGGGTGTTTCTATTGTTGAAAAATACAACGATTCTCTCTGAATAGGGTCGCCTCTCCACAGATCTGACCTGTAGCCTATAGTTGTCTCCCTTCAGAGATGTTAAAACTTTACTGTGGAACTTTATGAATGAAGCAGTAACATCTCCATGAAGACCAGCAGGTGGCGGACACTCCACTAGAGTTATGTTAAGCAGTGCATAATGCTGATCACAACTGATTCATGTAGTTTGAAGTTAAATTATTCATTAGTCAGGAAAAAAAGCAACAGACATCAAAAAGACAAAAAATACACACATCAGATAATTTTGGTTGAACAAAATAAATAAATAAATAAACAAATAAATAAAATATTCTGCAGATTTTTTTTTTATATTTTGAATAGTAATAATAATTAAAAAAAAGAAATTTTATAGACAAAAAATAAACATTAATGTAGTTAGAACTATTTAAAAAAAATTAAATTATAATATTCTGCATTCAAGTTAACTCTGAGTCATGTTCTGTTTATGTTTTGCTGTGTAGAATATTTTCGAGGGCCATAAAGCACTTAAGGTCCAAACACGCACATGCTCAGTCAGACTCTGTGGGTTCACTTGAGCCTGGGAAAATCTGACAGGGACAAAAATAAGGACCAGGAGCCGAGACCGGAGTCAGTACGGACACAGAGGTGATTCTGGGAGGGGCAGAGTAATACACACACATATACAACATATTTAAAGGTTATTGTGTAACTTTTCTGGTGGAGGGTCCGTCAAATGCTTTTTTCCACGGAGACGTTATTAATTAGTCTGGAATGTTTCACAGTATGGCATTAAACCTTTCTATCTTCATGGAAATCAAAACAGAGCACGTTACAGGTCAGATCTGTGGAGAGAGTCTGAATGCCTGTTTTTCAAGATATTTTTAATCTAAAACCAATTGCAATTGAATAAATGTAAAGTAGAGCAGTTTAATGCCACACTGTGGAACATTCAAGGCAGAGCAATGACATATCCATAAAGTTATATAATGTACCTTTAAATAATAGGTTAAAAATGTGAAGACACTTTGGCGGGATTGGACTTGAGCAACTCATGACATCTGATAATTTTTTATATGATGTTTACGAAACGTTGTGTGTAGAGAGAGTGGAGCGACGTGGGAGGGTTTCATTTATTTTTCTTCTTTTATTTAAAGATACAAATTAATTTTTGAAAAGTAAAAAAAAAAAAAATCAACTAAGGATGATTGAAAATATTCACTACAAAATACCTTAGCAGAAAAGTTAGCATTGTTCCCAGTAAATATGGACTAAACCAGGACTAAATGAGATCAAGGACTAATCCAGGACTAATCCAGAGTAAAACAGGTCTAATCAGCTTTACACCATAACTCTAGTAGAAGTATTGCAAAGTGCATAGTAAGTGAAGAGGGTAAATCCTCCTGGTCCTGTCTGTCTCTAGCCCACTGGTGATCTATGAAGATTAACAATTGAATTAGTAAACCTACCATTATTTTTAAGGATGTAACAATAATGTCAGAGTTCTCACAATAATATCGTGGACCATGACAATATATCAAATTAGTTATTAGCAAAGTCTCTTTGCTTAAATTAAGAGTTATGGTGCAGCAATAGCTAAAAAAAGACAGAGGGAGCTACATAGACCATGATCCTTTGCTCCATTTCAGTGCAGACTACAAGAAGAAATAACAGTTCTAAGCACTTTTAAGTTCTTTGGATTAAGTCTTGTCAAGGCATTTTAAGAGGAAAAAGTAGCATATTAACAGTTTTGTTCGCAGCCTCCGCAAAATATCACAATAAATATCGTACCGTAAGATATACAGTTGTGGACAAAATTGTGGGTACCCCTCTGGTAGTGAAAGAAAACTCAACAATGGTCACTGAAATAACTTGAAATTAAGAAAAGCAATAATAAATAAAAGTGTAAATAAGAGTGTTCTTCTGTGAGCCCAGATCTTAGTTCTACTGAACATCTGTGAAAGAAGCTGAAACATGCTGTGTGGAGAAGACACCCTTTAAACCTGAGACAACTAGAACAGTTTTCTCACGAGAAATGGGTCAAAATACCAGCTGACCAGTGCAGAAGTCTCACTGTTTGCCTCAAAAGGTTGTGCAACAAAATAGTTCAAGTTAAGGGTACCATCATTTTTGTCCAGGCCAGTTTCATTATTTAGTTTTTTGTGAATAATTCTGTTGAACCACAGGTGAAAAAACAATGTTTGATTTTTGTTGGACAATTTTCAGTAAATTTTGATTTATTATTGCTTTTCTCAGTTTCGACTTATTTCAGTGATTATTGTTGATTTTTCTATCATTGCCAGAGGGGTACCAACAATTTTGCCCACGACTGTATATCATGAAAATATCATACCAAGACATTTGGATATTGTTACATTCCTAATCGTGACCTTTCCCACAATATCGCAACAAATATTGTGTCGTGAGGTTCAGACCGTGACGATATCGTATCATGAGACTTGGATATCGTTACACCCCTAATCATTTTTCATTAATCTCCTTATTTTGTCCACACACAATTATTAAAGTGTATGAAAGAAAGCAAGAAAGACAGAGAGAGAAAGAGAGACATTTACATTGCGCTTCTCAGTGACCTTTGTATTAAATTATTAACAATATTGTACTGTAAATTAATTATCTTCAGGACAAAAGTATTCTATCTGTCTGTCTATCCTGTGTGGAGGACTGGTCAGGTTTGGTCAGCAGATCTGTGTCAGTGCAGTTTGAGGAGAGGAAGAGCCAAACGCGTCCCTCCTCTGTGTCTATGACTAATACTTTAAGATACTCAATCAAATTACTTCACAAATTTAATAACAAACTAAGCGCACAATAGGAGAACATGTTGGCGTAATGTCAAACCTCCAGTCCTGTCAATAGTTTTAGGGTGAGATAAACCAAAAACAAACTGAAAAACTTTATAGAGAAAGAGAGAGATAAGGAAAGAGGGGGAGGGCCCGAGGCGGCAGAGTGGTAGAGGAGGTTGGAGAGAGGGGGGTATGTCCATCCAAACTGAGACTGGACTGGGCCGGCAAAGCTAGGGACCACAACCGGGACAGAGGACGCAGCTGTACAAGGAAAACCGGGATGATAACGGATTACAACAACTGATCACCGCTTGGGAAAATCTCAGTTACTCCCAGTGTTACTATCACTTCACAAGGAGGATAAACATTTAAGAAAAGCTGTGCATCTTTTGATCCGTGAAAGTTGGGAATTACTGGACCACGTGACCACAAAACTGACGTCAAAGGATTCTTAATCATTTTTAATAGCTTTGATATTTTCGGATTGTTTTTTCAGTGGAACGTGATCCTGGATTCTTCTTGGAAAAACATTTCACTTCCGTTGTTTATAAAGATGGACAGATTTCCGTAACAGTGTATTTTGTTTTTTCCGACATCACCTTTTAAGAACAGACAGCGACGCGGGTCTGCGGGGAGCTGATGTCAGATTTGAGATTTGGCACTGCTACAGGGACTGTTCTGTAATGTTCAACTCGAGAGTGACAACAAGTCTTTAAGTATAAATAGGAAAAAAAAAAAAAGGGGGGTTGTGAGGGAAAGAAAGATCATTTTGAAAGGAAAGATTTAACAAGGACGATGCTGCGGGGGCTTTTTCACAGGAGACCCAAACACGAGAGGCTGGAGGAGGAGCCAGAGGTCAGGTTCAAAGGTCTGCTGGTGTCTGAGCGAGCCCTCGGATATTCATATGTACGGCCTGGAGGTAAGGCGCTGTGATCAATTATTATTAAAACTAGGCGGGCCGATTGTTTAAATATGGATAAAACATGAATAGGGATGGGACAATAAACAAAAATATCATTTATCGTGAAAAAACGGGTACACAATAATCGTTTGTAGTACATTTTATATAATCGTGAGAATCGCCAACACAAATAATCGCCGCTTTATCACCAGATTATGAACAAAAGCTACTTATCCACATCCACAACATGGAACTTATTCATAACATTAAAATTATGATTACTCATAACATAATAACATTTTTAAACAGTCAGCAGCTTTCATAACTATTGTGATATAACGGTAAATCGCAATTATTTTGGCCTTGATAATTGTGACACCAAATTTTAATATCGTCCCATGCCTTGTCATGAATGTTGTTTTGTATGCAGAATTTGAATACAGAGTGCATCGCTTAGAGCAGGGGTGTAAAACTTTTTTCGCAAGGGCCAATTTCTAAAACAGATGAAGCAGAGGCCGATCGAGGACCGTAGACTGGTGCTCAGTACAGGGAATAATTGAAAATGTGCTGTTATCATGTTAGAATGAGCTGTCTTTATTCATGCTAAAATCTTAAACTACACGAAATATTAAATATTTGCTTTATCAAGGTAGATTTTCAAAAAACTTGCAGCAAAAAAGTACTTTTATTGATCAAGTCATTTGGGCCAATGTGAGGCCTGTGTCAGGCCGCATTTGGCCCCCGGGCCATAGTTTGGACATGCCTGGTTTAATAAAGATGTTGACAAGCTGATTAAAAATGAAAATGGAAAATACTTATATTGTCAACCTGTTGCAGAGTCCTGTAATGGGTACGGGCTAATAGTTGCGAGTTTTAACGTTCTGGAATTTTACGGCTGGATATGCAGGCAGGTAGTAGTAATTACACACGGGTGGGTCAGGATTAAATCAGGACTAAACCAGGACTCATCTTGGACATAAGAGAAAGAACCCCAAGCCTGTGAAGCAGGGTGTCCGCAAAGGGAGATCGGGCGACGGCTGCCCCCTTACCTCCGTGGGGTTCTTTCACCTGCAGTCACCTGATAGTCTACACGGTTGCACCTCCAAGCCCATCCCGACAGTAAGTCCTTGTTTAGTCCTCCTGGTTCAGTCCTGGAATCAGTCCTTGGTTAGTCCTGGTTCAGTCCGTGGTGTGTGCAGTGCAAAAGTGCAGCATCTCGATCAATGTTTCTATTGCTCATTAAAATAATTCCTGTGAAGTGATGACAGTCGAGTCGCGTCTGTGAATTCGTATTCGTACTGAAGGAAGCGTCACAGTTTCATTTTAATTCGTGATCGTAATCCTTGACATCGTAACTTCTCAATTCGTATTATGATGGATGCTGAAGTTAGAGTTATTTTAACTTGTGTGTGATTTATCTCGGGCATGGGCGGGTAACAGGTTTAATGTTAACGGGTCCAGGCAGGTGTGGGTTTAACGTTGATAAAAATCACACTTTAACGGGCAGGTGCGGGTCTCAAAAAGGGACCTGTGCAGGACTCTGTTGTTAATTATTGTATAGAATGATATTTTTGAGCATTTGTGGGTAACTGAATTTAACACCTATTTGTCTGAAACTTAAACATCAACTAAGATTTCAATAAATAATAATAAAAAAAAACAGACAGTCAATATTGTCCACTCCAAATTATAATCATGTATTACTGTATCTCTATGATTAAATAATTATCCCCAAAATACATTCAAAAGGTAAAACTTAAAAGTGCACTATGAAACTTTTTGGTTGGGGGTCCGTCACCTGCTTGTTTCTATGGATATGTCATTGCTCTGCCTGGAATGTTCCACAGTGTGACATTAAACAGCTCTACTCTACTACAAAATACCTAGAAAAACAAACATTCTGACTGTGAGCGGGGGTCGCCTCTCCACAGATCTGACCTGTAACTTGCTCTGTTTTGGTCTCTATGAAGATAGAAAAGTTTAATGCCATACTGTGAAACATTCCAGACAAAGCAATAACACATGTATGGAGAAAAGTATTTGACGGGCCCTTGGCTGGAAAAGTCACACAATGCACCTTTAATCAGGAAGATGTCTTTTCTCACTACTGCAGTTTTTACATATAGACGGTGGTTTTAATAGCAGACATTTAATTGTGTTATTTGTGTTACGTGTGCGGTCATTTTATCGATTGTTTTCTAGCACAAGATTAATGTGATTGCATTTTTCCTTCCTTACATCATTAGGATACTTGCACACTCTTTTCAATAAAATCAGTTGTTTTGTTTTGGTACAAATACAACTAGAGGTGTGCAAAAACATTAAAACATTGATATATCGTATTGTTTATTTTGATGGTATGTATCCGTATCTTGGGCTTCTGTATCGATATATATTGCCAAGAGTATTTTTTGGTGGATTTTACTACATTATTTTGTGAAAGAGCTATGATTGTGTTGCTTGTTTGGAGAAAGGAAACTTAATACATATATACATGCAAGGGCCCGACCGATATGGATTTTTTTTTGTGGCCGATATGATACTGATAAAATGGGAGTTGGTGGTGCCAATTTAGCCAGTATGAAAGCCGATATATTTAGTGATGTAAAAATTCACTGTAAATCTTCAATTGATTATAAAACTTAGGTCTGGCTCTACTGGATTTTAAATTGGGTTTGTTTAGGCGACATTTATTGTTGTTCTGCCTCTTTACGTCATATTTAAAGACAGTAGGGCGGCCTAATGGAATTTATGCATGACATTCTAGCCAGTAAACAAAGTAATTAAAGTGCCGATATCAGCCTTTAGCGGTAAATCCATGTGCGCTGCGGTGAATTATATGCGTAAATGCCGATCATTCACACCACTATTCACAGCTCATTAACATGTGCAGGTCCAATAACATGTGTACAGCCACTATATTCACTTTACGCTAGGCCAATGTAAGAGAAAATAGTCTGTTTATGTGTGGGAGCTACAGCAGTTAACCAATGAGAAAGAACCAAAAGTAGCTTAAAAACCGACACATTTAAAACACTGACTGCTCACACAGGCTCCTCTCAGATCACAAGTCTGCACTAATAAGTTTGATAAAAACCGTAGTTGTTTTGTTGTTGGCCTAAATTGCGCTGAAGTTCACTTTTATTTATTTATTTATAGTCAGTGTCGTGGATCAGACACAAGAGCATTTAAAAAGAGTGCCTCAGGGTGCGTTCAGGGGCAGTACGGCGTCACACACACAGACAAATTACTAATAATAAATACTGATGCGGCACCACATATGAGGACAATTATCTGCCTGTAAAGTGAATTAAATGGACATAATATAGAGAGTCTAAGCTTTATAACGAAGTATAACATGCACACGTCAACTATCGGCCCATTTCGGTTTGAAATATATCGTATCAAATCGCAGTGAATCAAAAGTGCACTGTATGTTTCGTATCGTGGCCTATAGACTATTCAAACTTACGTCACAAACCCGGAAGACGTTTGGAAACATACTGATGATGAATTCCTTTGGGCTTTTATAAATTGCCTATTAATTTGTCCATTACCATTTGTCTAACTTCATAAAAAAAGATGTCATTGTAGAGTTCTGTTATGTTCGGCAGATCAACAGTTACAACCAGCTGCCTGTAAGTGACATCAAAGCTGCGGTCAGAGTCCCGTCCCCTGTGGAAAGCTTTGGCAGGTTGTGAAAACCGCTGTAGCTGAATCCATTTTTATCACATGCCCAGTGTCGGTAACTATCCCGGAAGTCGTCATCCGCATGTTTCCAAATGTCTTCCAGTAAGCCTGAAGAGAGCCTATTGGTGGTTTTCAGCACAGTGCTCCACGTCTCATGGGGCTGACCGCAGCTGACGCTCGATCGCACTTTGTGGAAACCCTGCTCCACGGGCTCAGAGTTCTCTCAGGGGCGGTCCTAGATTCTAAGTCCTAGTCCAAGATTAGTCCTGGTTCAGTCCTCCTGGTTCAGTCCTCCTGGTTCAGCCCTCCTGGTTCAGCCCTCCTGGTTCAGCCCTCCTGGTTCAGCCCTCCTGGTTCAGCCCTCCTGGTTTAGACCTGGTTTAGACCTGGTTTAGTCCCGATTTAGTCCCTCCTGGTTCAGTCCCTCCTGGTTCAGTCCCTCCTGGTTCAGTCCCTCCTGGTTCAGTCCCTCCTGGTTCAGTCCCTCCTGGTTCAGTCCCTCCTGGTTCAGTCCTCCTGAATCAGTCCTTGGTTCAGTCCTCCTGTCCTCCTGGTTCAGTCCTTGGTTCAGTCCTTGGTTCAGTCCCTCCTGGTTCAGCCCTCCTGGTTCAGTCCTGGTTTAGACCTGGTTTAGACCTGGTTTAGTCCTAGTTCAGTCCTAGTTCAGTCCTTGGTTCAGTCCCTCCTGGTTCAGTCCCTCCTGGTTCAGTCCTCCTGGTTCAGTCCTCCTGGTTCAGTCCCTGGTTCAGACCTGGTTCAGTCCTGGTTCAGTCCTTGGTTCAGTCCTCCTGTCCTCCTGGTTCAGTCCTTGGTTCAGTCCTCCTGGTTCAGTCCTCCTGGTTCAGTCCTTGGTTCAGTCGTGGTTTAGACCTAGTTCAGACCTGGTTCAGTTTTGGTTTAGTCCTGGTTCAGTCCTTGGTTCAGTCCTGGTTCAGGTGTAGTTCAGTCCTGGTTCAATCCATATACAGTGGAAAAGTTTGGCATCTTTGCTCGCTGATTGTTATTTCACGACAGTTATTTTGGTGAGAGTGTCTTAAAGTGCTGCAATAGTCGTGTAAGGTTTTACATTTTAAACGCAGTAATATTGTAATGCAACAAATTACTTTGAAATGACAGTAACAAGTCATAAATAAATAAATAACACATTACAGTTTTGAAGTAACTTGCCCAAGAACTCATTTCATTTCATTTTAGCTTCCTCCCATCTTTATTAAATATTATTGACTTATAGAATGTCATAATGTCATCTGAAACTCCATGTATCGTATTGGCAACTTTTTAATGATATCCAGCCCTAAATTTAACATCTGTATTTAAATTCTTGTCAAATTTGATCGCACAAGTCTCTAGTTGTACCACGTTAAAAGGAATTCGTATTATGTCACAGCTCCTCTGCTCTGGTACATAGTATTTCTGAGGCTGAATGTACCTCCATAAATCTTTCTCATTCTACTGTATATCTCGGGTTTATTTTTATCACCACTTTGTGCCCGCTGCCATTCCAGGAAGTGGCGTCGGCTGTGAGCGACATGTTTGTGTAATGATAAGATTCCACGCCCTGCACCCAGAGGTCACCCAGGCTGGCACAGACCCCGGGCCACAGCAGCTCCACACGTTACAAAGGAGTTTTCAAATGACAAGAACTAATGACTCAAGGTTTTCTGGAAATGAAGCCATCATTTAAACACAGCCACGGGCAAATTTTGTATCCAGACATATTCAGTGGCTGCAAAATTTCATTTCCCCCCCATAGATTATTCTGAAAAGCAGCGAAAAATCATAACGCTGATCAAAAATCACACAAAACCAGCTCTGTGTCAGTGGGTTTGTGAGGTTAGACAAATTTTACCTTTAGAAATTTTGGCAATGCGCCTGTATCGAAATCTTTGTCATTTGTAATATAATTGAAATATACTTTTAATTTAAGGGTATTTACTTTGGAAAAAAAATAAAAAATAAAAATAATAATAAAAAATAAGTAAAAACAATCATAAAATTGTGGCAATCTAAGGTATTTTCATTACAATTATTCAATTTAATCATCATTGTGACAAACATGCATGGCCTGGGATGTAACAATAACCGAAATATCGTGATATCGTATCGTCAAAGTTCTCACAATAATATCGTGGACCATCACAATATATATCGAATTACAAGTCTCTTTGCTTAAATTAAGAGTTATGGTGCAGCAATAGCTAAAAAGAACAGAGGGAACTAAATAGACCATGATCCTTTGCTCCATTTCAGTGCAGATTACAAGAAGAAATAACAGTTCTAAGCACTTTTAAGTCTTAGTTCTTTGAATATTTAAGTACCACATATTCTGTGTTTTTTGTCTTTTTTGTTTAGGTCTTTTTTTTTCTGTTTTTTGTTTCTCTTTTTTCTTTTCCCTTTTTTTTTTTTTTTAAAGGTGTGTACATTGTGAACTATTAACATTATAACACAATATTATACATCTTTATGCAATTTGTCTTTTATATTTTGAAACAGCACAAATAAATCATACATTAAAAAAAAGTCTTAGGTCTTTCTCAAGTCTTCTCAAGACATTTTAAGAGGAAAAACTTGCATATTAACAGTTTTGTTCACAGCCTCCACAAAATATCTCAATAAATATCATACCGTGAGATGTATATCTTGAAAATATCGTACTGAGAGATTTGGATATTGACGATATCGTATCGTGAGACTTGAAGATCGTTACATCCCTAAAGAATACCACAGAAGTTGAGTAATGGCAACCAAAATTTGATCATTTAGGGTTATAGTCTGCTAAAAGTAATTATAAAAGACAGATTAGACTAACAAAAGATACCAAATCTTCAACTAACTTCTTCTTTCTGCTGCAGTCCTATATAAATCCTTACAATCTGAATAAAATGATAAACCTACTGATGTAGTTTTGGTCGACTAAGACTCCATTGACCAAGTTATCGACTAAAAATCAAGAGATGTAAAGCCCTAAAATGAATATTGTCATTTATGAATACCAAATTATAAAATGCCAAGTCTCCACTGGGTCACATTTCTTGTCAAACCCACTAACCTGCTGCAGTCTAGACCTCAGACATATTCTAACATTGTTAAACATTCCAAATTTAGTCATAACAGCAAAAATAGAAAAATCACAGCTAAATTTTTTTTCCCAGAATAAGTCCTACCAATGAGGAAGTCTAATCATTATGACCACCGCAAACCCAGGGGAGGAGAGGTATTCGTGAGTCAGCGGTTTCTAAGTGCTCGTTGCCATTATCTGTGGTGGTTGAGAGCATCTAATCTGCGCTGCCCCGGGTCTGTTCTGTCAGGCTCTTGACCCACAGCCTCAGTGAATGTGTGCCAGCTCCTTATAAGGCACCTCTGAATCCCGCTCGGAGCTCGGTCTGTATCTGCAAGACGTTCACATACCAGCCCATTTAGTGGCACTGGGTGAAACATACGTAACAAGTATGTGAGTCCTTGTTAGGGTTATTAAAAATACTGAAAATCGCAGCCTAATCAACACTAAAACTAGTACCAAATCTCAGATATTCATTTGAGCAGGAATCAAAACTAAAAAGTCACATTCACAGGACAGAAATTAACCTTTGCTGAAGCTTTAGAATGATCTTGAGCTGCATCAGAGCAAGTATAAGAGCACATAGACTAGTATACGCCCATGGACCACTGTGGAACCAACCTGGACCACTGAGGGATTACACAGATATAAGACCGCATGGTAAAATAAAAGAAAGTACTACGATTTAATGATGAACATGGCATTCTCTTGTCCAGAAAAATAGTGTTTTTATTCACATTGTAGCATTGGAACTGGTATTGAGTATCAACTCTGTTCCTTAATATTGAAATGGAGTTGAAATTTTAGTATTGTGACAACACTAGTCCTTGGGCAAGGGACTTTTTTCTTTTTTTTAACTCTAGATTGCACCTTAAAGAAGCACTGTGGACCTTTTTCAGTGTAGGGTTCACCAACAGCTTAGTCAGGCTGGCGTCACCTAGTGCCTCCGCTCAGTTTCATTTCTCTCCAGCGACTAGGGCAGGAATCAGAATACAATAGACGGTTCACAAAAACCCCGGAAGTGCGAGTTCAGGCACTAGCCAATCAGCGAAGAGCCAGATATTCTGTGTTGGCAACGATTCCCGAGATAAATTATTTAAAGCTGGAACAAAGAGAATGTTTGGTGAATTTTATCAAGGGGAAAGATGTTATTGCCATTCTTCCTACAAGATTTGGGAAAAGCTTAATATACCAGTTAGCCTCGTTAGCGGCCCATTACATACGTTACGACCAAATAACAGCAATAGGTTAAATTTTAAAAAGTACTTGTCTACCATCGAGCGAACAAATTCTAATGCCGCGAGGTCAGACTGTTTCTACGAAGTGAAACTGCCTCATGAATCAGGCTACCACCAGCTTGCCTCATACAGATATTTTTGCTTTTCTATGAATGTTTCACAATATGACATTAAACAAATTCAAGTGACAGGCGCATAACCTAAGCAGATACTGAACTGACAGATGGTACAAAGCAACTATTAAGAACTGTGATGAAATCTAAATTTTGGCGTCAGCTCTAAGAAAACTATGATGTGATTTCTTGACCGTGATGTGTGACATTCCTTACATCGTGCGTTGCGATAAAGCAGGAACGGGTCCTGGAGCTGGAAGTCCAAGTCTTTGGTGATTGGTTCAGTCAGGTTCTCCATGCTCAGTCTGTTCATGATCGTGAATCCATGTCTGGGAGACGCCAACCTGCAAAGACAATTAGAAATAAATTTGTAAATACATTTTTAAACCTTTATTTGGACTGAACAACACAAAAATGAAAATATAGTTTGTTTAATTTTTTTTGCAAAGAGTATTATCAACTATCACTTACAATTTCAATCTGATGAATTTATAGGAAAAATTGTGACATATGTTTTTTACCTTGTGTAGATAAAAAGGGTGCCTTCCACCTCAGTTTTCTCCTGGAAACAGAACAACAACAAAAAAATATACATAAGTATATACAGTATGCACGTATGGAAGGATGTTTTTTTCGGGCTTTGCAAAATTGCCACATTACAGTCCCTGACAAAAGTCTTGTCACTTATCCATTTTGTAGAAACAAAAGCTTATAACCTGACTTTAAATTAATCAATTGGTTTTAGAAATGTCTCATATGAAAGCTAAAACCCTCCCAAATTATGCTCAATATACTAAAATAAATTTGCTTCACTGAAGAAAGATTGATCATTTAATGAACACAGAAAGGTCAGATTTTGGCAAGACAAAAGTCTTGTCGCCTTGTCATATGATGCACCCAATCCTAGATTACAGCCTCACCTGTGATCAGTTACTGATCAATCAATTAGTGGGTGTGTATAAAAAGAACCCCAGCACACCAGACTTTCACATCAACTGCAACTTGACCTCTGACAACATGCCTAAGATCCACCCTGAGACCAAAGCGTTAATTATCAAGAGGCTGAAGACCAGATCCACTGCTGAGGTGGTGACATCCTTCAATGTGTCTCAGCATCAAGTACAAAGAAAAAGAAAAAGATCTGAAATGACTGAGATGTTTTTGACAAGCCCAGGTCCGGCAGACCCTGCAAGACAACTGCTCAGGACCGTTTGTTGATTCGAAAATCCAAGGCCAGCCCCTTTTCCACTGCAGCAGAGCTCCACCAGGCCTGGTCACCTCAAGTCCCTGTGTCAACCACAACAGTTTGTAGAATTCTGTCTTGAAATGGCCTCCATGGTCGAATCAGTGCACAGAAACCAGCACTAAACAAAAGGCAATTAAAAAACCGTGTGGCATTTGCCAAGGCCCACAGCCTGCTAAAAGGATGGACACTGGAAAAGTGGCAGAAGGTGGATTTCTCAGATGAATCCTCGGTTGAATTACATCACAGCCGCCGCAAATATTGCAGGAGACCTACTGGAGCCCACATGAATCCAAGATTCACCCAGAAAACAGTTAAGATTGGTGGCAGAAAAATCATGGTCTGGAGTTACATCCAGTATGGGGGTGTGTGAGACATTTGCAGGGTGGAAGGCAAATATCAATAACCTAAAATATCAAGAAGTATTAGCTCCTCTTACATTCCCAACCATAAAAGGGGTCAAATTTTGCTCCATCGCATACTTCTATCTCTACATCAAAGTTTCTCAAGGCGAAGAAGATCATGGTGCTCCAGGACTGGCCAGCCCAGTCACCAGACATGAACATCATTGAGCAAGTCTGGGGTAGAATAAAAGAGGAAGCATGGAAGGCAAAACCAAAGAATCTTGATGAACTCTGGGAGGCATGTAAGACGCTTTCTTTGCTATTCCTGATGACTTCATCAACAAATTGTATGAATCATTGTCGAACCGCATGGATGCGTCCTTCAAGCTCATGGAAGTCATACAAGATATTAAATATGGATCTCACAGCACCACTACTTAATTCACTGACGTTATACAACATATTTTTGTATTTGAAGTAAATTATTTGTTCAATTTTCTGTAGGCGACAAAACTTTTGTCTTGCCAAAATCTGACCTTTCTGTGTTCATTAAATGATCAATCTTTCTTCAGTGAAGCAAATTTATTTTAGTATAGTGAGAATAATTTGGGAGGGTTTTAGCTTTCATATGAGACATTTCTAAAACCAATCGATTAATTTAAAGTCAGGTTATAAGCTTTTGTTTCTACAAAATGGATAAGCGACAAGACTTTTGTCAGGGACTGTATACTGCAATGCAACTGTTCAGGTATGACAGTTGTATAGGGTGACCAGAATCTCAAAATAAAAACCTGGGACATCCCTGTTTGTTTTTTTGGTGTTTGGTAATAATAAAATTGTGAAATAAGAGTGTAACTAAGGAAAATTGTTACGCAGTTAGTTACTGTTATTCATGACTTGCATGTGAATCAGTTTAGTCACATTTTCTTTGAGTTTTGGTCATTTTTAAGCAGCTTTTCTGTATTTTATCTAAACAGATGACAATGTTTGCCTCTCTTTACTGGCAGGGATCAAATTGGTCAAAATTAGGGACACCTGAGTAAGGCTGTGCAGTTAATCGAATTTTGAGTGCAATTTCAATGTGTGTGTCAAACGATCTCCAAACCCATATAATCGAGTTGAAATGATTTAAAGCTTAACAGCATTTTTTATTTTTTTTTATATATAAATTAGTATATTTTATTTTTTTTTAAATATAGAGATTGTAGAACAGCTGTTTTTATAGTTTATTTAGGATACTTTTGTTTTTCTATACCTTATTTCATGTTCAAAGTCTATTTCATTCATTTTATGTTTTATACATCGCAAAATTGCTCAAAGGTACAAATCTGTAGCTTGAATTTATTTTCAATTTGAAAGTTTTGCGTAAATTATCAATAACAAGTGTTTTTTGAGAGAGAAATGCTGAGTAAATGCATCGTGTAACTACAAAATAATCATTTGAATAATACTGACGTCAATATTGACCAAAATAATCGTGATAATGATTTTTTTTTAACCGAGCAGCCCTCCACCTGAGACATTTCTTGTATAAAACTGGGACAAATCAGTGGTTTTGGATAAATCTGCTGGGACAGGGGACATAGGGATTAAAACTGGGACTTTCCTGGATCAATGGGGACATCTGGTCACCCTGATTGTCAACTAATTTTACAGCTATAGCTATTATAATAAATCAATAAATGGATTGTTGAGCGGGGAAAGGATCTGTCAGGAGATAAAACTCATCTCCTAGTCCCACTGAAACTCACAACAAATTAAAAAATCTCGCCAAATTCCACGTAAATCGCATGAATCCACTTCCGCTGATCGTCATGTCCAATCCGCAATGGCTCTACAAACAAAGCTAAGCTGCATTAGCACATGGAGCCTCTGACACTCAACACTTACCCACTCATTTGCCCTGTTGTTATACGTGTACAGAGCGACTTGGCTGGCCACGTCCACAATAGTATTAATATAGGGATCTTGTCGTTTTAAAGCGGCCAAACTAATGTCCAGCCCTTTCGCGACGAGTGAGCTACCTGCAGAAGTGGCTGTCATTGTTCCTGATGGAAGAAAAAATAGTTAGCTTTTGCTTTTAAAACGTGCCCGTAAGCGAAATCAAAACAAGCAACGCCTCGAAACCAAAAGATATATCACGCTAACGTAACTCTTAAGTGGTTTGAGAACAGAAATAGCGAAAAAAATATAAGTTTGGAGCGGATATTAAGCAGGTATCCGAAAGCTACCCGCCATGTTCGCGCTGAGATTGTAAACAAGCAGACCGGAGCAGTGGCGCCGGAAACGAGGATTCAGGCGGGAAAAGTCGAACCAGATGCATCGATCGAAAATAAATAAATAAATAAATAAATAAAAAATGATTATGTAGCTACGTCATGATTATGTAAGGTAATTATTTGTGAGGTGATTATGCTGCACATCTGACGTATCCAAAGCCATGGAAACAGGTTTGTGCAGAGTTGTAACCAAACTATCTTAATTGAATCCAAGACCTGGCCCGCTCGAGGAGTAGCCTATTAAAATGTATGTAATATTTTTACACCAGGTCAAGTCAAATGTGTCACTTATTTAGAACTTCTGAACAAAAGTAGAACCAGACATACACTGAATTGCTTTGGGTTTCTCAGATTCGAGCAAATGTACTATCCTACTTAAAGGTGTATTGTGTAACTTTTTTGGTACAAGTCCATGGAGGTATGCAAACTTCCACGAAACCTGGACCTGGACCTGTAAATTGGCGTGGCACTTGTCTCCATGGTAATAGATAAGTTTAATACTGTGCATACTGTGAAAAATTCCAGGTTAAACAGCAACATTTCAGCAAATTTTCCCAGAAAGTTACACCATGCACCTTTAACAGAAACCTAGAATACACATTATTTTATATTTTCCGTATATTTTCCCTCCAAAAACTGGTCTGTTTGTTTCTTTTTCATTCAGAACGTGTTATTTCACATATTAAAGCTTATTTTTCATGCATCGCACTTGGTAGAGGTGAGACTGTCCATTACTGTTTCATTAAATCTTTATATTTGTCTCATTCGAACATGTTTAAAGCCCTACTTTGTGCTTTACGATGCAGTCCTAACATCTATAGCCTATTATAATTGCCTTTGCTTCTCATAGTCACCTGAGCTTACCTGTACTTTTCTGCCAATCGTCCTGATACAGCTCACATTTTTACAAAACCTAATGCATGTTCTTGTACCAGGCAGTTCCTAAAAAGTCAGACAGGCAGCTTATTTTTTTTCTATCTGGTGTGTCTGCTCTTCTTAGTTGTAATTTGACTTGGAGCCTCTAGGGGGCAATGAAGATCTGGAAAAATCTACAGTGCGTTTCACCACTAACTCAACGTGATTCAGGCTTCTGTTTGAAAATATCCCCAAATGAAATTCAGAGCAGTCTACAGTACAGCAACCAAAGCACCGCAGCAGCAGCAGAGAAATAAGCAACGTTTCTGATGCACGACTTTTGCTTATGCATCAGAAATTTTGCTTATTTCTCTGAGATCTGCATGTATCAGAAATAAAACATGTGCTTCCTGTTGAGGAAAATAATACCCAAGGACAGGACAGTATCTGATACAGGAAGAGGCTCTTTTGCACAGTCAGTTCTTGAAACACAAACCTTTCTTTGGCTTCACTTGATATCATGTAGCTCAACGGACAGACAGTCTTGACTCTTATTGCCCTTCATGCGCTTTTTATTTCTCTGTAAAAATCTGCTGAGGTTTAGAAACAAAAAACTAAATTATAATATAGTTTATAATTATATATATATTTTTTCATATTGCAAATCTGTATTAAAATCTATTCATAGTTTTTATTAAAATGGAAACGGGACAATTTGTTTTGTATTTTTCAGGATTTGCTTCTTATACAAATACAACTTTCTAACCTCAAAATTGTATTTGAGCTTCACAAAAAGTATAATTTATGATGAAATGTGTAATTTATTTGTAAATGAAATAATAAACTTTCTGTAAGGAGAAGGAGGAGAGAATTGTGTAATTTTTCTGGTTTCGGCTTCGTCAAATGCTTTTCTCCATGGAGATGTTATTGCTTTGTTGGGTTCACAGTTTGGCATTAAACCTTTTTTATCATCACGGTATCCAAACCAGACCAAGTTACAGGTCAGATCTGTGGAGAGGCGACCCTGCTCACAGTCAGAATGTCTGTTTTTTGAGGTATTTTTGAGCTATAAATCCACCTGTAATTGACTAAATGTAAAGTTTTTTGTTGATTTTTGTAAGCGTTTCTCCATGGACATGTTATTACTGTATCTGGAATATTTCACAGTGTGGTATTAAACCTTTTTTATCATCATCAAGACCAAACCAGACCAAGTTACAGGTCAGATCTGTGGAGAGGTGACCTCGCTCACAGTCAGAATGCCTGTTTTTCTAGGATTTAAATTTTTTTTTTCTAATTTAACAAAGATCTGAGAGCTGTTTAATGTTATAGTGTGGAACCTTTCGGGCACAGCAATGACATCTCCAGAGAGAAAAGCATCTGACGAATCCTCCACTAGAAAAGTTGCATAGTACACTTTTAAATTGAAAATAAATACATAAATAAATAAAACAACAGTCTCTACAGTCTTAAGCTGTCTTCAAAATTCTGTAATGGAGACGACTGGAGGCAAAGTGAAGCACAAATAATATATTCAATTATTCATTTCATGGTTTTATGACAATATAACAAAAAATAAACAGCAATTTTCAGTTTCCAAGGTACAAATACTATAAGTTAATTTGTTTCTCTGTGAACCAAGATGGAAAAATACAACTTTCTAACCTCAAAACTGTATTTGAGCTTCACAAAAAGTATAATTTATGATGAAATGTGTAATATATCTGTAAATGAAGTGACAAACTGTAGTGGGCACAACTTTTCTGTAAGGAGAAGGAGGAGAGAGGCAGGGGGAGGAGAGAGAAAGAGAAAGGAGGGGAAGAGAGAGAGTGAGATGAGAAAGAGAGAAGGATAGAGAGGGGAAGGAGGTAAAGAGAGAAAGAATGAGAAGGAGAGAATGCAGCAGAACAGTGCAGTTAACAAGTGTAAAGTTAAATCCTCAAATTGAATGCTTAATTTGGTAGATTTTTTTTGCAAATCTTGCCAGAATAACTCAATTATAATTAAGATTCGTATTTCAAAATTGTGCAGCCCTTGACCAAATCCTGTTTAAAATACAGCGCCGGACTAAAAAATATCGATAAGCCAATGAAAATATGTATGACAGCTTAGAAATGTATAGGTCAATTTGGTGCTTTTGTGAATTTTGGTAATATATTTTTTAAGATTCATCTGTACATAACCAAACACGCTCAACTATTCAAAATGTTTCGGTAAGACTATTACTACTGTACTATGTGAAAATAATCTGTGCAGCATTCATTCATTCATTTTTCAAAATAAAAACAAAAATAAGAAAACAAAAAATCTATTTTCTTCATTATTTGTCTCTAAAACCAAAATGGAAAAAAAACAAACAAAAAACTGATAATGCTTTGTCTTTAAATGAATAATGGGAAAAAACATTTTTGTGACTTAAACTGCGATGCCGGATTTTGCGCCACATACGGACTGAACCAGGACTGAACCAGAACTACAACAGGTCTAAAACAGGTCTAAACCGGTCTCAGTCCTGGTCTCAGTCCTGGTCTCAGTCCTGTCTCAGTCCTGGTCTCAGTCCTCTTCTCAAGTTCAGTCTGGTCCTTGTCACAGTCCTGGTCTCGGTCTGGTCTCAGTCATAAACCAAGACTAAACCAGGAGTGTCGGGACAGGCCCGGGGGTACGCCTACGTAGACTGCCGGGTGATCAGGAAACTGGGACCAGATCGGAACTGAGACCAGTTTAGACCTGTTTTAGTTCTAGTTCAGTCCTGGTTCAGTCCATATGCGGCGCAAAAGTCTGGCATCACAGTTTAAGTCACGGAAACGGGACACGGTCTTTATCTGTTTTTTTCCATTTTTCATATAAACACAGAATCGAAAACTGAAAAAACAAATCGTTATCTGTTTTTTCATTTTGTTTCTGGTGACAAACAATGAAGAAAATTGTTGTTTTTTTCATTTTCTCATTTTTTGGTTTTACTTTGAAAAACGAATAAACGAATGATACACGGATTTAAACTACTGGGTAGATTTGTAGATGCGAGCGAGGTTAAGGCCCAGATCAGTTCTTTTTATAAGTCCCTTTTAATCAATGAACCTTTCAACATGTGGAAATCCTTGAACACAACGAATAAAAACAAACCAGAACATAGAAAGTATGGACTATTGAGCCATTTCCTTTGTGTTTTCGAACATTGACCCATCTCCCTTTTCCCCGTTTCACTTTCCCATCATTTCTCCTTCGTCAGCGTCATCGTTACTGTTCCTGACGTCAATCCTCTCGCTCCAATTTAAATAAAACATACACCAGTCAAGCTGTATTGATCAAAAAGACGCATTTACATATCGCCGCCTCTTTCAAATCCATTTTTTTGAACCATATTGTCGTATAAGGACCATCTGCTCCCATATATCTCGCTGTCAAAGTGATTTCTTAGCGTTTGTTGTCTAACGCTGTGGAATTGTCAATAACCCCACTAATGAGTTATCCATCGGCCAATCAATAATGTCAATATCCGTTCAGTGAAGATTAGGAGCTCAAATCTGATTGGTGGCGAGGGAATGAAGGGGCGATTTGATTGGTTGATAAGTAGAATGGGATTGAATTTAGTGGTTTTGGCTGGTGGACTTTAATGAGATGGGACATGCATGGATCACTGCACGAAATTTCCCCTGGCGACATGTAGCTGTGTTTTGTAATAATTTAGAGTCTTGTAAGTAACTTTCTACTGTAGAGATTACACGGTTACAAGGAGTGAAAATCATGTCGAAATGAATCAGTTCAGACAAGAAGCTCTAAGCAGCAATATTTGCATTTTATTTTTATGTAATGTTGCTCAAAAGGAAAGCCAAATATTTTTAGGTAACACACTAAAAAAGAATAATTAAAGCCCCAGTATGTAATTTTATTGCCAAAAAATTTTAACTATGTTTACTCATAACCGGATCTGTTGAGAAACAAATATTTCCCTCCATCCATTTTCCAAAATAACATTGTGCACACAGCACTGTTTTCAAAAAGGTTTTGTTTACAACCTGCATAAATTCGCCATCGAACACCGTCATAACCACACCTGGATTAGATTCAAACCTGTAGCATTTATTTCATTACCGATGTAAGACTTACTCAAATA